TTCCGCTTTTTTCTCTGTCCCTAAAATGTTGCTCCCAAGTGGGACCATGCCCAGATTCTTGCATTCTTAGCTGAACACAAGAGTTAGCAAGTACCCCAGGAAAATACGAGCTTCCGAAACGCGGGTAGTATCTTAGAGGTGCTTTGCTCTCCAGTTGCTTTGCCCTTCTAGGACTCATTCCCACACCTGTTTGAAGTTTTTAAAACCTTTTTTCTAGTATGTCTAGTTGTTTTTGATGGGAATATTTACCTGTTGCAAGTTATTCTGCTTTCATAACCAGAAGTCCCTGTTCTCTTTCTTTGTTATTAGGAATCCTACCAGTTCTTGCTCATTATAACCTCCTTCTACTTATGCCTTTCTAAAGATAATATTTTACATGCTACTTCATCATTTTCTCCAACCTCTTCCCATTGAGTTGTAGGATCAGGCTTTACAGAGACATGAACTTTCTAGTCAAGAGGTTAACTAAATGTTTTGCATAACTTACAAGGTATCTCTGTCATTCCAGCCTGTGCCACAAAATGCTTGCATTTTGCCCGAACATCAAGTAAATGCAAATTATTCCATATGAAGCACCCCCTTGAATGATTTATTTCTGTAAAAATTAATATAAATGCTAGCTGCTGCCACATACAAACTCTGAAATATCAGTGAATTAACACAATAAAAGACTTCAATCATATCAAAGTTATAAGTGGCAGGATGAGTGCATGGGCTGTGTGCCACGTAGTTGTTCAGGGACATAAACTCGAAAGAAGATGCTGCTTCAACTCGTGCTTTTGAAGGTTTTAGACATTGGCATAAAGGAAAGAGGTGGGAAAGAGGGAGTGAGTAGGTAACTCTTGTGTGATTAGTAGACAACTGCACGTGTCTCATGGGTCAGGGAAGGTAGTGGCATATGTCGCTCCCGCCCACATTCCTTCGGCCAGAATTCACTCTCAGAGTCCACACAGAGCCAAGGAAAACAGAGACATGTAGGGCCTGGCTGGACAACAAGTTCTTACGAAAGTTCTTCACCAAAAGTTAAGAGCACACAAGTAACCATAGCAAATGAGAGAAAATATGAAGCTTCTTTCCCTAATAAAGGGTATGTACTATGAACCTCAGAAGTAATTCTATTAAATCACAAACAACACAAGAGGTGGACAGTATCCACCCAGCACGACTCACTCAAATTTCACAGTAGATATTGACAACTGCACTTTTAGAGAAACATGAAAAGTTAGAAAAATGAGAACGATTATGTGAAGGTGATGTGTTGGTTTCCTGTGGCTGTTGGCCACTCATTTGAAAGCAGATCCCAAATTCCTCGTGTATGTATCTACCCCCTAAGATGCTATGACACAAGTCCAGAACAGAGGCAAAATGTTACAAGTGAATTTGGAAAATCTGCAAGATATTCTTGCTATTGATAATGCATCTGAAAAACAGTACAGAAAGGCAAATAAATGGATTCTTTATTAATACTAAATATACTATCAAACATTACTGAACTTTTAAAAAATTAAGAGTTGATAACAAAAAGAATGCAATCATACAGTATTATTAACACACATTTACAAGGGGAAAAAAAAGGGTTTTGAAAACCCTGTACCACCTATGGCCATTGTGTGAAAAAATCAGAAGACGAAAGATTTTTTTAAAAAAAGGGAGAGACAGTGAAGCAAGTCTGACTACAAGTAAAGAAGAGAGGAAGAGAGACCTGGAGGGAAAGAGTGAGGCTCTATGCAGTCTAAAGAATGTCTGTGCAATGCACGGAAGGCTTAGCGAGGCTACTGAAGAGTCCTCAAGCCAGAGACAGGTGTCAGAGGAGTCCCAGGTCTCCGGGGAACGCCGTCCTCGGTATCTCTATCATGTTCAATCATTGGTTGGGAGCAGGCCGTGGGAAACGTGGCTTCAACAAAAGCGCACTGATGCATTTCAGCGTGCAGCAGCTCAGACCCCTCCTCACTTATGTTCCTTGTAGTAGGAGGTCTGCAAGGTGCATTCTCACAGCCACCACACATGGCCCTCAGTTTATCACTTACCTGCTCCTGGGATGTTCAATCTTTAGAAATAACTATAGGCTTTGTCAGTGCAGCAACAGCACTTTTCTGATGTCAATGTCTCAGAGATTTGTTTGGCGTCCAACATGGAAACTAGCAAACTGATTCTACAGGGACTCAACCAGTCCGTCCCAGATGATAATGCTCTAACAATGGGGGCTAGGGGTTGGAGGCACATTGGCCAGATAAATGGTTACAGCCCTGTCAAAAAGTGCTTTAAAAGATCTTCCAATATGGGAACTATAGCAGGCCCATACCTAATCCCAGCTGGTACAACCTTAGTCTTTCTGTTTCACAGATAGGGACAGTAGTGCTCACCAGGTATTCCATGGGTTCTCCTGATTATTTTCCAGCCTCCTTTGCAGGTAGGGCTATGTGACTAGATTGGACCAATGAACCATGAGAACTAACTACTTGTATCACTGCCAGTTAGAGGCAGGTAATGGGCAGGTATGAGTTTTCCACACTTTCTTCAATTTGTTGGCAACTGTGGAGCCATGAGCTGAGAATGCAAAACCTTAGAATGAAGAAGTCTGGGAAGTTAGTCATCACGTGGAGGACAGACTCCTTTGATCAGGAAAGTTGCCAGACTTTCAGAAAATGATATAAGTTCACCAATGTCAGCTGTATCCTAACGATTAAGAACCCATCTAAATTTTGATCGGTGAAAGCTATGAGTCAAGGGAAAGCTATTGGGACGGATCATTTCAAGCACCATGTGTGAGATAGTTCTCCTTGAAAACTTGTCTTCGTTCCTAATTATAATTCCAATGGGGCAGGTAAGCTCTGTATGTTTTAATATCATTCTGGTAATCTGTATCCAGTTCACCATGGGTCTGCTCCCCTGGGGTAATAATGCACACTCTTAGTTATGAACTGCTGGTATAAAATGAAATGGACAGACCGAGAAGCCAAGGGTGAGTCACCAGCATTCAAGGACAAATGAGTAGACGGTGACAAAGCCAATGAAGAAGGAGTTCTCAGAGATCATGGAAATTACAACAGATGGGAGTGTTTAAGAAACGAAGGAAGAAATGCCTCAGAAAGGGAATAATCAAATAAGCACCCCCCCCCAAATAGAAAGAGGTCCAAAAGAAATCCACAGAATTTAACACTGTGGAGGTGCATGATTATTTTTCCAGAGTAATTTTAGACAAAGGTCAGGTATCAAAGCCTGTCTGCAGTGGGAAATGAGGAAATGGCTTCACATTTTGATTTTTGAGAATTTACGCCTATTCTTAAATAAATAAATATTCCATACCAGAGTATTTTGCATAACAGCACATATTTTTACGGATAAATACAGAAATACAAAGCCCTATGTTTCCTAATTATAAATAAAAAGCTCTGGAAGTATTATGCAACTACATAATTTCCAAATCACTGGCCTTTGAAACAGCTTGTATGTAATTGTGAGTAATAGGGTAGCTTTTCCCCAGGAGGCAAAACATTTTGTTTTAGCAGCACCTTTGTATTTGCAGCATTCGTCTCTCTTTTAAAATCTAAATGCAAAATAACTTTTCTTCAGGACACGTATACCCCATCATTGAACATTTCTTTACTCCTGACTTCTGTCTATGATTTTAGGGTAGGTGTCAGTTAAAGTAGAAATGCTACTTTGTAAGAATTCCCAAACTCACCCTGGCCCAGAGCCACTTCTTTGCTTGCCTTAGGCTTTCATAAATTTGGTAGTTAATCACAGCAACCAGTAAGTATTTGCTTCCATGCTGTTCCTCTCCCAAGACCTCCCAGTTCAGTATTTGAACAGCTCTAGAGTTAAGGTCACAGACTTGGGAGCGTTGTCGGTTTTTTTGCTGCCACCACAGTATCTCTTAGCAGCTTCTGCACTCTCCATAACAGAAAGCTGGTCTGAAATACCTCTTCTTTGCCTCCGACAAATGTGGATCTTAGGCTGTCCCCAAACAATGTCAAACTTTCCAGGGACCGGCCAGTTGGGTATTCTGATCCACGAAGAGCCGGTAATATCAGAGCCATAATAGAAATTACCTCCAACAAGGCATTGGAAAGAAAAACAGAAGGAAGTTGAGATAATCCCGAGGACAGTGGTGTGCTAGTAAATGTCATACAGCTGTCTCCATGGGAGAAGAAAAGCCCAGATTTATAGGTTTATCAGTTTCAGTGAAGGCCAATTTCAAGCTACCACTTGGTATTTTTAGAAGAGTTTTGAGAAGAGATGCAAGTCACATACTATAGTATAGTAATTACACTGTAACCTTAAGAGATAAAATATCTTAAAAATTAAGAAATTATACGTTTTGAGTATTGGTTTTTAATTTATTTAAACTTAATGTTTCAAATAATGGCTGCCTAACAACTGACTCGAAAAAGTTTAAAATCTTAATAATCATCTCTAGTGACTGGTACTAGCTCCAGCCCACCGCTGCCGAGGGAATCTGTAAACAGCAGAGGCAGGTCCAGGTTCAGTGGGGATTGAACCATATAAAATGTAATGAACTCTGAGAATACAAAATTAGGCCCATTACTTTAGAAAGGTCCTGTGCAAGTAAGTGGCCTGAAATTTTTGCTTCCTTAGCTTCATGGTAAATCTACTTTTAGTAAATAGATATCTTAAAACTCACTAAAGTGGGTACGGAAGCTTCAAACAGGAGAAATGGTAACGAGAGAGGGACTGGATTCAGATCCTGTCGGAGTAAATGCCACTGGGACAAGTCAAGCCAGCTGGAGGCTGGGAGTTCTCAAGGACAGGGAAGAGGTCAGACTGGGGTTGGGAGAGCGGGGATTCAGGTCAACCTGAGGAGCGGTTTGTCAACCTAACAGACAGTCTGTGTGTCGTGAGGCTGAACTGGCAGGCCCTCGTGGCTCAGCGGAACGAGGGGCTTAGGCTGCTCCCACCCAATGCAGAGCCTCTTCTGGATTCAGGTTAGGGTAGATACAAGTGGGGACTGAAAATACAGAGAAGACACCAGGCCTGAGTCAGGAGATTCAGGCACAGATGATTTATTCTTTCATAGCTTTAAACCCTCAGCAGTGACAACGCAGGTAACAAAGACATTATTTTTTTCCTTTTTGGTACAGGCCAGTTCCTGATGAAGTATCTAGTACTATCCTCTCCCCGGGCATTAGCATTCCAAGGTTGTTAGAGACTGTTGCTGTAGGAGAAAACAAAACACAAACAAACAAAACGTCGGTGTTGCTCAATCTTTTTTGTACCTAGTGTATTTCTAACTCAAGTAATTTAAAAAAGAATGAGTGATCAAAGGGAAAAGATTAAGAATATTATAATTAATTTCAGGAAAAACAATTACCTATTACCTTAACTGCAAATACTCTTACTTTCATAATAGAAGTGGCTTCCTACAATACCCTGTTTATTTTTATGTTTGTGACCCATTTAGGTCAATAAACAAAGTGCCTTAGAAATTCTATTCAAAATACATGAAATAATTATATTTTAGAATAAAAACAAATAGTGATAATTTTAACTACAATTACTTTTTATATTTTGTAAAAATACTGATATACACACATGCATGTGCACACACACACACACATACACAGGTGTGTATATCTATATAATGAAAGTTTTTTAACAATGATCACCCCTGGGTGCCAGAATTAATAACAATTATTATTTCATTCTTCTACATACCTATATTTTTAAATGAGTGTTTCTTACTTGTAACTACTATAAAAGGAACCAGAATAATTCACACACTCACATACACACGCAAATTATTAAGTGAATTAAGAGAAGAGAGTGATGGTAAAGCAAGATTCAGGCATTCCAAGTTCTCTGGCCAGAAAAGGAGGTCAACGCCATTAAAAGCTAAAATTATCTTTTAAAATTAAGAAAAATTAAACCAGTTAAATATAAAATAAATTCAATATGTTTGTTATGAACTTAAGTACTAAACTGAAAATGACAAAATATTTTTAGAACCAAAATAAGTAATGTTAAATAAACAGGAATTCATTAACAGCAGGCCAGGTCTAAACTCTCAATTTAAATAACAGAAAAATTAGTGGAGTGAGAGATGGGGCAAAGTTAAAGTATACTAAACATCTCTCAAACTAAAGGGAGTCTCAAAACACCTCTAATTCCATATGATCATATTGTGGATTTTCTACTTCTATTATTATACTCATTATAATAATACATATACAGTTCATTACTAAATGACAGTGGAAAATCACAAAGAAAATTTAATAGGATAGTAGAAGAAAGTAAATTTCAAAATATGCTAGGGTTCACGAAATATACCATTTACATGTCCAATTGACTAAAAATAAATTACTTGTGAAAATTATAACTTGGTACAAATGGATTGGTAATTTGGCAATAGATATTTTAAAATAGATATTTGATCAATCTGTCTTCTGTGGATTTATCCTAGGCTGTAACTGGAAAATTGCTTTGAGATGTATATCTATACAAGGATATGTATTACAGAGTGTTCGTAATAACTGTAAATTGGAAATAGATAAAATATGCATAATAATGGATGTTCTAAATAAAATATTTTCTATTTTAAAATTGAATACTATGTGTCATAAAATGATGATATAGGTTTCTATTTTAAGATATGAAAAGTTGCCCATAATATTCTTGAAGTAAAAAATATGCATAATAATGGATGTTCTAAATAAAATATTTTCTATTTTAAAATTGAATACTATGTATCATAAAATGATGATATAGGTTTCTATTTTAAGATATGAAAAGTTGCCCATAATATTCTTGAAGTAAAAAAAAGTATAAGTATTTTCAATGTTTTGCTTATTTAGAAAAATATTTGAGAAGATGTACACATAAATTGGTAATGGAGATTTTCTTTAGGTATCGTGATTATGACAAGTTTTACTTTAAGTCATATATCTACCAAGGTCTCATATACTTTAATACATATTTCACAATTCATTAAAAGTAAAAAAAAATTCTTTAAAAATAAAAAGCTCTATATTTAAATCAGTGTAATTTAATACTGAGATTTCCATGGGTACCATACAGTCTCCTTTCATATGCATTTCAGAATATTTTTCCCAATTCTCCCTGCCCATGTCTCCAAAAATCCCTTTGACTGAGTTTATGTTAAATATATATAAACATACATTATTGATGTTGTGGAAAACACAATAAGATTTGAAGTTAGGTTGTTTTCCAGTATTTTAGTATCGCAACTAGTTTGCTGTGAGCACTTCTGTGCATATCTATTGATACACATATGTACACATCAACAAGTGGAATCTGCTGGTTTACAAACACGGATACGCTTTGGCTCAGCTTTAATTAGGATTAGATTCTGACAGTTTTCCAAACTGATTTTGCAAATTTACCCTCCCTTCAAGGATATAAGAATGCGCCAGTTGCTCCATATTCTCAGCAATTGACACTGTAAGTTTGTACAGTAATAGCCGTCCTGGTATGTGTTTAGTAGCATCACACTGTGTTTTTAATTTGCATTTTCCATTTGACTCAAGGTTCAACACTTTTTTTTTTATACATGAATTGCTGATACAGATACTGTCTTTTTGGAAGTACATGTAAAACACTTTACCTATTTTTTAAAAAAATATTCAGAATGCCTGTCTTTTACTGCTCCCGCGCCTCGCTCAGCCAGTGAGCGGGAACCGGTCTGCATGTGGGATCCGAACCCTCAGGCGGGAGCGCCACCGCGCTTCCCAAGCGGCGCACTTATCCAGTGCGCCACCAGGCCGGCCCCTACTTACTCTTTTATAAGAGTTCTTTTTACATTCTCTTCATACGTACTTTGTTGAATATCTATCTTTTTGCAAATATATTTTCTCCCATTCTATTGCTGGCTTTTTACTCTCTTAAGGGTGTATTTTAATGACTAAAACTTTCTCATTTTAATAAAGCCACGGGGTTTCTTTTATAGTTAATACATTTTGTGTCTACCGTTGTATTCTAGACATTTTTTGTTTTACCTTTCACATTTATATCTACTACCCATCTGGAAGAGTTTTTTGTTGTATTTGTTGTTTTGCATGTGTTGAAAGTAGCGTTTTGTGTGTGTGTTGTGTGTGTTTCAAGCAGTGGTCAAGATATTTTTTTCATAAAAATTTGATCATATATTGAAACGGCCATACTTTTCCTATCTCACTGAAATGTCTCCTTCATCATAAATCACTTGGCCATGAAAATGTCAGTAAATAGCTGGAAACACAGTACATCTCTAATTTTTTGCATCTTCTTTAATGCCTCTTCATAATACGTTTTGATGTGTTTATGTCTTGCACACACTACAATACCTTTATTTCTAGGTATTTGATATATGTAGGTACTTCAAAAAGTTTATGGAAAGATTCGTGTTATCTTTTAATTCTGTTTTTCATAAACTTTTTGAAGTTCCTTTGAACAAGTATTTTATGCCTTTCCCATTGTACATACATACTTTAATGTGTACAAGTCTTAAATCTTCAGTGTAATGAATTATCAAAATCACCACTCAGATCAATAAATAAATTATTACCAGTACTTCAGAAATATACTTCATTTTACTTCCCAGTCAATTGCTCCTAAAGGTACCCACTGTTCTAACTTCTATCACTAGAGATTAGTTTTGCCTACAGTCAACTTGTATAAAAAATGAATAATACTCTTTTGTTTTTGGCTTCTTTCAATATTATGTCTATAAAATTTATCTTAGCTGTTGCATCTAACAGTTTTTAAATATTCATTGCTGTACAGCATTTCATTCAATAAATATAGCACAATTTACATATCCTTTCTTCTCTTTAAAGTTTTTCAATATTATAAATAAAGCTGCTGGGCCAGCCTGGTGGCGCACTGCTACAGTGCACCGCTTGGGAGCGCGGCAGCGTTCCCGCCGAGGTTTCGGATCCCACCTACAGAC